AAAATTCAGGCCTACAAGGAATTGGGGTGTATTCAAGAGATTGATAGCCCCAATTAAAGGGTTTAACCTAGAGATAGTAGTACCCGGCTTGAGCCAACATTGCTTGCACAAATTGAACACCCAATTGGGCTTGAGAAAGACAATTTAGGCAGAGTCACTCAAACTACCGAGAGGTATAGAGTGAGTAGATTTTTGCATTAGCTATATCACGATCCCAACTATAACATTATTACCCTAAGTTTTAGATCTCGCTAAATACTCACCTAGGAGTAAGTCACTTCCCTAGTGCCTTTTTACCAATTTAGAAAACCCTACAAAATATCTACTTAGCTTAATTTCGTGCATCATGAGTATAAAATTAGAAATAGCAAACAAACAAAAGAATGATTGTAAGTGCAATCAAGAGCATTGCACACAGCTAGATTAGATAGGAATCCACCTCCAAACATATCTTAGCTCCCTGTGGATTAGATCCCGACCTTTTCGGGTAAAAGCTGCATCGACCGCTCTTGCCACTCTATAGTGGTGTAGGGTTGGACCCGATCAGTGGGATCCACCACTTAGCTTTATGCTACAATCACATAGATCTAGACCTCACAACGACTTCTTCTTCTTCCCAGTTACCATGAACACACACCATTACTCGGCCAACTTCTCGCGAGCTCTTGTTGCACCAATCATACACATCCCAAATTATCATCCACCATCACACGCTCAACCTCCTAGGGGTCATACCATCTTCTTCAAGCGACCTAAGCTCACATCGCAATACATGCATCCCATGTTAGGCAGAAAGTAGAACTCTTTGTAGGAACCTCATCAAACTCATATTGACCTCCTCTAATGTCATTGCTATAGTTACATCCATCATGAGATCAATTGATCTCCCAAGGTCCCCACTGATCTGCCAGCCCTAAGAGTCCTTTCATTCATTAACATCACCCAAGGGAACAACAATATGTTTGAAACTCGAAGTCGTATTGCATCAAAAATAATGATTGAATACTCATTTTCCCACATTCCATTTGAGACCTTCTCATCACATTCAAAATTCCTAAGCACAGAAACTATCTCAGATATCATCTCCCTCGAACTATCAACATTGGGAACACTGGTTCAATCCTGAAGTCTCAACACATAACCATCTATGATATCTTCCTCTTGTGTTTCATCTCACCACATCGTACCCAGAGGCAAACAAATGAAGACCAACGTACCGATGGGCCTCAATGCATTCAATCAAGGGCGGAGACACCACAATGTTAACAAAAATTCCACCTAATTCGAAATATATTAAATCTACACCGTAGGCAACACCAACACTGGGCTGAAATGACAAAACACCCCTTTACAAGGCGATGATAATAGCCCACTCAAATACGCAGGGAGAAACATCTTGCACCGCATCTGTATCATCTTCACAACTCGTCGGTGCTCCACAACAACAAATGCCTGACGTCACGTACGAATGAGTAGGAAGGAACTGAAAGCACAAGCATTAACGAAATCAAGTTGTACGGTGAGGAATCAAGGAAGGGAAGTTCTCCTAATAGCCATGTAGCCTCTCGAAGATAAGAACAGACATCTCCGTACCGATTAGTCTACTAGACTTGCTCATGACTCATAAGACCTAAGTGAACCTAGTGCTCTGGTACTAAGCTGTCACAACCCAAAATTCATAACAGGTTGTGATGGCACCTAACGCCACCGTTAGGAAAGCCAATGGCGAACCATCTAATAATTATCCATTTTAATTTTTTAAAAAATAGGAATTTCATTAAATAAATAGAATAAAATTTGGCACTCATAGAAACCTATGCCTTTCTTTAATAAATTCCGAATATAAATAAATCATAAAGTGAAATGATAATAATAATAATAATAATAATAATAATAATAACAATTATGATCATCCACTAGGAATCCCCAAAGTCTGGTGTTACAAGTGCATGAGCATCTACTAAAAAGTGCAATAACAATACAACATTTGTCTGTAATACAAGATAAATGGGATAAAGCAAATAATTATGATGGAGACTCTATGTACTATGAATCGTAACATAGAATGCAGCTCACCATAAAGTCCCCTTGGCAGTTGCGCCTACACGCCCAAGTGACCACCAAATGAACATGTCAGATCCTGCACATTTACTGCAGAAGTGCAGCATGAGTACGTAAATAAACACGTACCAAGTAAGTAAGTAGCCTAACTCTAAAGAAGTAGTAACGAGGGGTCGAAATTGACACTTACTAAGAGTGTGTTACAATATCCTACTGAGGCGAACGACCAGATCCCATTAGCATAAGAAGCTTTAAGGGGTCCTTGAACCCACTCACGAATATATGTGTGAGTTATAAAATCTAAGGAAAATTTTCGATAAATATGCACAACGCGGAAGAAATTTGTAAGGGAAGCACAATTTTCCACGATTTATCAATTAGCTCGTCAAATATCTAAAATTGTAAGTCTATTACTCTACGTGAGTCTAGTCTCAGGTCGTAACACGAAATAAAGTAATTAAACAGGCAAGAATAACTCAATTAATACTATTAAAGCATGGCGTGAATCTAAGTCTACCCGAACATAATCAGAAACTCTAGCATAAGCACGAACACTCATCACTTCATACGTGTGTATCTCCCATAACATGTAGCATGTAATAAGTATAAAACCTACAGGGTAAATTCCCCCTCACAAGGTTAGAGAGGAGACTTACCTCGATCTGAAGTTTCATAACCAGCTCCAACGCCTCTCTGGCACCTCAAACCAACGCCCAACGATCCAAAACTAGTCAAACAATCATGAAAACCAATAAGAAGATACTCCAATACTCTTAATAATTTATTTATAACAATTTTCAACTCCGCTCGAAAAGTCAACAAAGTCAACCATTGGGCCCACGTGCCCGAATTTCAAAAACAAATCGAAGATAAACATTATTCATACCACCCCGAACTCGAATATATAATTTATTCCTAATTCCATACCCAATTCCGTGGTCAAAACTCGAAATTATAAATTCTAAGGCTCCTGTAAAAAATCCCACATTTTTCACTTAAATTCTTGAATTTACAAGCCTAAATTCGTATATTTAACTCACAACGCGTAGAAATCACTTACCTCATGATTGATGATGAATATGGCACTCCAAAATCGCACCAAAGTCGGCTCTGATGGAAGAAAATGAGAAAAATAGAGACAAATCCCGCTTTAAAACAATTCTGCTCAGGCCCACCCTTCATCGCGTTCGCGAAGACCTAACAATCCACATCATCGCGTTCATGTCCAAGCCGTTCGCAATGGACAACTTGCCCCTAGCTTGGAACTCCTCCTTCTTGTTCATGGTTGTCCTTCTGTGTTCGCAATGGGAAAACTGCACACCCAGCAACTTACTGCGTTCACGACTACCTTGTCGCGTTCGCGTAAAGTAAAGTCCCACTGACCCCTAATTCTCATTCACATTCGCGAAGTACAAAAACACAACCACCAATTTCTTTCTTCGCAATCGTGTAAGTCCACTCGCGATTGCGAAGCATGACACCAGTAGCACCAACAACCAGCAGCATCAAATCACCAAAACTTGGTCCGAAACCGAAACCACCCTGAATCACACCCGAGGCCCCCGGGACCCCGTCCAAATACACCAACCAGTCCCAAAACATGGCACGAACCTGCTCGAGGGCTCAAATAACACCAAACAACATCCAAACTACGATTCGACGATCAAAATTCTTCTTTTAACTTTCAAACATTAAAACTTCGACGAATGCGTCTGATTCATACTTAAATATCCCAGATGACGCCAAAATTTATGTACAAATCACGATATGAACCTATTCCAAGGCTCGGAACCTCAAACGGACATCGATAACACCAAAGTCCACTTCAAAGCAAACTTAAGAAATTCTTAAACTTTCAAAATGCTAACTTTTCATATTAAACGCTGAAATGCTCCCGGACCACTCGATACTCAACCCCAACATACGCTCAAGTATGAAATCATCGTATGAACCTATTGTAACCTTTAAATCTCGATTCCGAAATCGTTTACTCAAAAGTCAAACCTTGATCACCTCTTCCAACTTAAAGCTTCCGAATTGAAAATTTTCCATCTGAATCAACTCCAAACTTTCCGAAATTTAATTCCGACCACACGTACAAGTCATGAAATATGAAGTGAAGCTACTCAAGGCCTCAAATCGCCGAACAATGTATTAGAGCTCAAAACGACTTGTCGAGTCATTACAGTCGGAGTGTAGGCTTGCCGAAACTTGAATACGAGACTTTAAGTATTCAGCCATCTCAACAGTTGATTTTGAACCTTGTAATTTTTGATTTGAAGGAAGAAGAGATGAAGGACAGAACTAGTCCCAAAAGGCGTGCCTATTTAGTTTCAACATACTTTTGCAATACAAAAAATAAACTGCAATCACAATATAAATATGGAGAAATGTAATTTTAATGATGAATCTTCATGGATAGAATTCTGTTTGTTCCCTTGATTTTGCCACCAGATTGTTCTCCGTAATTCGAGGGCTGGATCATCCTCGAACGTTGGATGATGCAAGCAAACCTCCCAGGATGTATTTGATCACTCTGAAGGTCGAGCATTGTGTGAGTCTTCTTCTTGAAGTATTTGATTATAAAGAAGAACACCTATTGATCGCGACATTGTCTTGATCTCTTCGCAAATATTCGAAAATTTATGGGATTTTTTTAGATGACCTCAATTTTCGGGATCTTTATTTAAGGGAATATGTAACCCTTTTTATAAGAGTGACCTCGGGTTAGGGTAGAGTGGCCTCCAAGTTAGGGTATTAGAAAAGTAGTTTCCAAGCAATCCTAATAGACTCCTAGAATTTCAAGAGTCGTCTTGTAGCGTCTTGAATTTAGGATTCAACCCAAATTTCATATGGGCTTGATCCGTTAAAATTTTGATTTCTACACGTACCATTTTCGAATTACTTTACACAGTACACCTTTTCTTACAACTTTAAAATAATTCTTTATTCATTGATAACGTAAAATTAATACAAAGTTATATCCAAAGAAGTCCAGAACACTTTGTTCTTGTTCAATTTTTTACACTGACAAATGAAATTTTTTATGTATACACATGGACTAAACTAAGGTAATTCAAAATGGCCTTTTTAGGTTCTTCAAGTCCAAAGAATCAATACACTCTATCCTACCTCTATGCAAATTCAACAATTTCAACAACTCACTTGCCTTCTCCTTAGTTCTTTCACTACAACCAACTTGTATTAGCAACAATAATTTCTGAAAAGCACCAACTTGAAGTGCTTCAATTAGCACAACATTACCATTTTCCCTTTGCTCCCTCTTCCCAATTAGTTTCCATAAAATTGAAACTGAAAATTCAGTTGCCAAATCTGAAACTCTCAATAATTTCTTGATCAAAACAGGAATGGTTAAAGCATAACCATAAGCCCTTCTTTTTCCTTCTTCTGAGCTGCAAATTCCAACCAAAATACCTAATGCTTTTTCACATATGCTTTTTTCACAATCCACAAGTATCTCTATAAGCAATTCCACTAACCCCAAATCAGCAAATTTCACTCTAGCCTTTTGGTTTATAATTTGAGATGAATTAACCATATGGTAAATAGTTAATAATGAAGCTTTTGTAGTAGTAGGGCAAATTGGCTCTTTCACCAGCTTCACTAAAGCTTCTAAAGCTCCATCAATTTTTAATAACTCTTCTACTCTCCATTTTTCCTCTATTTTCATAATTTCTTTTAGCAATAAAACTGAATTTCTCCTGCTTGATAAACTCCCACATTTCAAGAACCAAACCAAGCAATTTAACGATGATTTTGATCCAAGAGTTGACTTTGACTCACCATCTAGAGGCAATAAAATAGTCAAAGTTGATAAGATTTCTTCCATTGTTTCAACATCATGGACCGATAATTTCTCCGAAAATCCAACAAGTGTAGATGATAAGATCTTTGCAGCTCCATTGGTGATAAAACAACGTCTATTCCTCGCGCTTTCTTTTATCATTATCTTCATTTTCAAGACCAGTGCTCGACAAGAGTTCTTTGAGTCGTGCTGCTCTTTTAAGCAGCAAGACTCAATCTTCCTAAGAATCTCCGTTACCTCTGATGAGGTAACGGGAATTCTTGGAGTTGGGATTCTCTCAACTCCGTGATCTTTATTCTCAACACACCATTGTTGGATCATTTTTCTCATGGTGTGATTGGGAATTGGCTCAAGAGATTTCAATCCTTGTTTGGTGATTGGACATGTTTGATTTCCACCCTCAATCCATGTTTCAATACTCTCTCGATCGTATGTTATCCCTGTGGATAAAGTCACTGGATCCTTCATTAAATCTAAAGAAATTGGACATTTGAAATGGCTAGGAATCATTAACAACTCCATAGTTTTTTCCTCTATTAATTCTTTCTTTGATGTGCTTCTCTTTGCTGCTCTTCTCTTTCTCCATGTTGACATCATTGTTTGTTAAAACACAAAAATTAATTTGATCCAAAAATCTTTGAGAACAATGGGTTGTGCTTTGTGATTTAATTTTCTTGTATGGGAGTTTGGTAGGTAAAGTTTATGTAGGATTTAATGTGTATATATAAGTGCATGTGTACGTGTGAGATGCCACGCGGTTGAACTTTCTGCATTTAATATAATTAAAGGAGTATTAATATAAAAAAATTCTAATAACAAAATTATTCAAGAACGTGTGAGGGAGAGAAGCTGGGAACAGCGAGATTGAATATTGACTAAGAAAATGGAAGTGTTGAATAGGGTATGGGGCAAAGAAGGGATGCTTAGGACATTTGGTTAGACTAGAAATGTCAAATGTAAGAATGAATATTGAAGAAAAAAAAATCGAAAGAATCAAAAGGTTGGTTTAAATTTGACTTGGAGAACAGAGAGAAGGCCTGCAACAAAAGACTGGTTGGTGTACTAACCTGACTCATTTGAAGAGAAAATGAATATATAATGGCAATTATTTTTATTATTTTTGTAAAAGAATCTTTTATGATCGATTACAATTTGAACCAAAAAAAAATATAACTTTCATAAGAGTTTTATGTGTGGCATAACTAGTTGTCTTTAGTTTTCGACTTACACATGAAAAGTAAGGACTATATTTTCTTACTTTTTCCTTTGGTTAATTTAAACATTGGGGAAATGAAAATCTCATTCAGAGAAAGGATATCCCAAAGTCTAATAAAATGATAGTTGTATTTAGTTGAAAGTATAATGTCATTTACATCCAAATAATTAGTTGTAATAAATTTTAGTTACTCGATAATTAATCCACAAGTTGAAGTGGATCACCATATATAAAAAAAATTATCAATTCTTCACTTTCATTTTATTTGGCAGTGTTTCACTAAGCATTCGGAGCTTAAAAAAGAAAAGAATACTTTTAAATTTCAAACATATCATAATGTTTACGTGGCTATAGAAGAATGTCGTTAGAATAAAAATAAAATTTCACGTGTGAGGGGGGCAAATGTTATATGAGAAGATTAGAATTTAAAGGAAGTGAACATGTATACGCTTCCTTTTGTTTACACGGACTCGTTTTACAGGTAAAGTTGTTACACGGTTTTTAACGAACCTAACGCGCAGGATATAAAAATGTAAGGTCAAATACTAATAATGACTAATGATTATATGATTCTTTCTTTTTTTTTTTGTTGTGACTCTATAGTATTTTTTATTTCTTGTTCTATATTCGGTATCTGTTTGATTCAAAAGATATTAAAATTTTTTTTGAACAAATCAATCAAAGATGAAGAGGTAAATGGTAGATGAAGATAATAAACTCTAGGATAATAACAATAGAGAGAAGAGAGTTGTAAACTTTCTTTTCATTCAAGGTTGGTGAGTTTTACAAAGTGTTCCTCCCTTGTTACAAGGCTCTCATCCCTCCTGAGGAATTCCTTCCAATCGTAGAAACGACATGCAAAGAATCTTTTAAGGAATATTCTCCATATCTCCTAATGGGCTTACTCTACTGTCGAGGTCGTATTGTTCCTTCTTTTACCACAAGGTTGTATCCCTCTGGGCGTCAACTCGCAGGTGCTCGATCGTTTGTCGTGTTCACTGTAGGTCGTGGTCGGTCAAATTCAGACCCATACCGAAGCACTGAAGAGTACACGCTACCGGGGGTGATGTCAGCTTTACGTACGCCCTCATTACGCGGATTTTCGAGGCAAGGACTGACGGCTTGGCTCTTTAATTCTTGCGCTAATTTGAGGTCTACCGCCTCGGTTCTGACGCCACCCAACCCTATAAATAGATGAGGGGTTTGATTTTTTGAAATTTTTTAGCCATTTCTCTCTTGATAGCCTCTCAGTCTTCTTCATTTGTTCTTATATCCTCCTGCTTCCGTTTCCGTTCTTCACCGAAAGTTTTCTTCTTTTTTACTCCCTTTGTGTTGCTACTCCTTTAAACGATACTATGCCGAGGTCTCCTCGTGCTAGTGAAGAGGTTCCTGAAGCCACCCCGTCATCCACAGTGCCTCTTTCCGGCAGCGGAGAAGTGTGGTAGAAGAGGGTGACAGCCCTCTTACGGTGGAGGAGCTACTACCGAGGCATCCCTTGTCCCAGAGTGATTTCCTCAAAGATCCACCTCCTACTCCAAACCCCATATTTTTTTAGATGGAGCAGGTTCATCTTGATGCCCTTCATATAAAGTATGGTATTCCTGCCCATGTAGAGATGATTCCGGCGGCGAAAGATTACGCTGACGTCTACAGACCTGGGTACTGTGCTTTCTACGAGTATACTTTCATGATCGGCTACACCCTTCCTCTCTTCCCTTTAGCGGAGGAATTCTGTAGATTTTACCAGGTTTTCCCAGCACAGCTTTCGCTGTACACGCTTAAGGTACTTCTACTATTGACTAAGTATGCAGAGTTGGCGGAGTGTAGCGTCTCTGTCCATCATCTTTTGCACCTATTCACACCTGGCTTCCTCAGGGGTACCATGATGCATTTGAGACTTGTGGTACGAAAGGGTTGGTGGTCGGGACGAACGACCGGGCGAGCCGTAAGTTTTGGCACAAGTATTTCTTTATCATGACCGAACACGTCGTTTCTGACTTTGCCAGATTTCCGGTGCCATGAAACGAAACTCGTAAGTGTCGTCGTTCGTTATGTTCCCCTCTCTTATATAAATATTGTAACTTTTACTTACTCGCCATTTTGCAGCTCTGGGCCGTCTACCTCGCCCTATTGTGGGTATCAAGGATTGGGTAGCCCGCCTGTTGCCTCATGCGGCAGAAACTCGGACTTGGCCCGCCTTCGTGCAGCGTTATGGCCCTACGGTTTCCTCAAGTAAATATTTGACTTAATGCCTCATTGGCCATGCGACCTCGCTTAATAGTACGACCCTTTGTGATGACAGGTCGGGGAGCTTCTACATAGAGGGCGCCAGTTCTCGCCTTTAGACGAGCCGTCGCTACTGCGGACACGCGATTTATCTTGTGTGAGTCTGTTCGGGAGAGTCATCCTCAACCTATTCAACTGGGAGATTGTCTCGAACTGTGTCCACGAGGGAAGAGGTTTCGTCGGTACCGGCCTCACATCTATTGGATTAATATTCTAACGGTGATGAGCCGCTAGAGAGGAAAAGGAGGAGGTTGGAACTGGGGAAGGGCGTAGCTATGGACGCTGACGTCAGCAGGGTGTCCTGGGCAGCCCCGGTGCCCGTATTTATGGCCGATGCCATTTTGTCGGGAGGTCTCCCCAAGTGGATGGAATTGGCCCGGGAGCTGGTTCAGTGCGCTCCGTTAAGGGTAGTGCATCGTCTAATGTTGGAGAACCTTGTATCGAGGGTGACGACTCGAGTTCGGATATAGACCCGGAGGATGTCAATGAATTTGTGGGTCGCCATACCCATGTGGAGGTTAGGATGGACGGGTTCGACCGTTATGTGGTAGTCCCGGGGAACTACAACTTGCTGTTGAACAGCGAGCAGGTGGCGTCGGCCCTCGCTCCTCTATGTGCCGCTCCTGAAAGGGAGATGCTTGGAGCAATGAGCGACGTGGAGTTATCTTAGAAGGTCACTGGTATGGCCCTGCAGGTAGGTTCCTTTCCTTCTCTTTTTATTGTTAGGTTGGTGCGACAACCGTCATTTTGCATTTTGTTTTCTAACTTCTGCCCTTCTCTTTTGTTAGACCCTCGTCCTGGAGGTGGAGAGGGAGCTTCATGAAAGAAAAAAGATAGGCCTTTATAAGAAGATGTCGTCCAAGTATCAGCAGTATCGTGCTAAGCATCAAGCGATGTCTGACATTTATCATCAGGATCCCGAGTTCTAGGTGTTTCGCGAGGGGCTTAAGCAATGGGAGGACTAATTGGAGCGTAGGATAGAGGAGTTGAGGGAAAGGGATGGGGAGCTTGTGAGGGTTGTTGCCCATAATACTGAACTGGAGGCCTCCCTTAAGGCAAAGAAGGACGCGCTCGAATTGAGCAAGGGAGTGACGGCTAAGAATGCAGACTTACAGCTGAATGTGGCCGACTTGACCGCTGAGTTGAATGCTAAGGTAGCAGAGATTGATGGGCTCAAGGGAGAGCTGAACGTCAGTGTCGATAAGCTGGCGGCAGCTATTTCTGAGTCGGTATCTTTGGAAGATGCTCTCCGTATTTCCAGGTAGGAACTTACTAGGGAGAGGGAAGCCTCTAGTCATCAAGTCGCAGGGCTCGAAGGGCATGTCTAGGAGCTAGAGGCGGAGTTGACTGCATTACAGGGACAAATGGCTTCACTGAGGGCGGAGGAGGCAAGTCGACGCTCTCAGCCTTCTACGTCTCGTGCCTCAGCTGATCCGGGTGTGCCCCATTGTTTGTACAAGTTGTGGGTCCATGTAGAGGCTTAGCTTGATGTGTATAAGGCTTTTCACGCTTAGGTCAGGGCTACAGAGGCAGAGGTTCAGGTTGTGCATGCCGTCGTGAAGCTTGTAAGTCATGCGGGTACGACCCCCTCACTCCTGACGGGAAAGGCATCAATTTCGATGACGCGAATCATCTTGCTTCAGATTCGTGGTATGAAGACGCTTACCCTGCTGGGGATGATGTGTAGCCTTGGGCCTATTTGTAGGGGCAAATGTAAATGATATTTTGCTGCAATGTAAACTTTACTTTCATCGGTTTGTTTGTTTGTCATTTTTTCTTTTATTTATTGCATATGATATTGACGCCCTTGGCTATTGGGATGTTGCTTCGACTGTTGTCAAAGTAGAATCCCGTCATGGTTCGAACGAGGTCGAACTGGTATTTTCGTCGATAGCCTTGGCCATTGGGATGTTGCTTCGAACTGTCATTGAAGTAGGATCTCGTCGTGGTTCGAACGAGGTCGAACTAGTATTTTCGTCGATGGCCTTGGCCATTGGGATGTTGCTTCAAACTATCGTCGAAGTAGGATCCCATTGTGGTTCGAACAAGGTCGAACTATTATTTTCGTTGATGGCCTTGGCCATTGGGATGTTCCTTCGAACTGTCGTCGAAGTAGGATCCCGTCGTGGTTCGAACGAGGTCGAACTGGTATTTTCATCGATGGCCTTGTCCATTGGGATGT